GGTGCCTTCATCCAGGTCCAAAACCAACTCCTGAATCATAGAGTTGAGCCAAGACAGTTACATCAGCGATGCTGGTCCCCCGATGGAAGATGCAAGAGAATTTTCTGTACCATTTACCTATGGACAGCTGTTTATGAGGATCTGTGATTGAACCTCAATTTGACAAGGTATTTTATCCAGAGAGGAGTCCTTAAATCAGTGCTCTATGGTGAAGGGTTATCTCTAAATAGGTTTTTCTAGGATTTAGATTTAGTATAGGCAATGCCAATCCTTGCAACTAAATCTCCTAGATTTTATGATGGATGTATACAGAGAGGACACACATTTCAGTGGGACACTGAATTGGATCCAGATACCCATAAGCTACGTTGGCACTGAGTGGGCCCACTACAGGCTGGAAGATCAGGGAAGTTTTCTTGGGGCCCACATTATGATGACAAAGCTTGTTTTTATTACCTACATCAGGTCAGGCCAAGTCATGTTCACTGCAACCAGCACAACTAGGTCAGCCCTGAAAATCTGAGAAATGATTTTGCTAGGAGGCTGATTGAGTGAAAGGCCCAGAAGGAACAGATGTGAAAGAATTGATTTTCTGAAAGTCAGATCCCCTATAAACAAAGAGTGTTAAGCCCACATTCTAAGAAAGGATTTAGTCACCGGAAAATAAGTTTGAAAATGGCCCTGGGATCAGAAAAATAAAACACAATCGTTTGCTTGTGGATTTTGAAGGTTATTCGGTTAGTTCTGTTTGCTGGTTTATCCATTCCATTGGCTTGTGTGGCCTGACTCATTCAAAATCAGGGCTGACCTAAAATCACTGTGGCCAATAAAAGGGGCTTACAAAACAAAACAAACAAACAAACAAAACAGCTGTGAGCCAAATGTCCTTTGCATGCCAGGTGCTGTTTTTCCAAACCTCTTACTGTAGGGGTGACAGGCATCGTGTCTCATTTAATCCTATATCAATCCTACAGGGCAAAAGGGTATCATCTCTCTTTTACAGATGATTAACTGAGGTTCTTGGAGTAGAGCAACTGGGTCAAGGTCATGTGTCTAGTATGGAGTACAGCAGAGATTTAAGACCTGCTCTGTCTGCCTCTAAAACTCAAGCTCTTTGCCTCTTAGCCTGTGTTTCTCACCAAATCCCTTTGAGCCCCAGGCTCCACTCAGGCTAGGGAAGGGGCTTTAACTGTCCAGATTCCTAAAGCAGAATGTCCAGGAGCTGAGACTCAGGATTTGCATTTTTAAAGCCAGGTCACCAGGTAATTTCAATTTGTTAAGAAGCAGTGATTCTTATTACAGATCCTCCACTTTTGAGAAGTTCTTGATGTGGAGAAGTCTGGAAAAGGTAGGAGGGCTCCTGACAGTTTCTGGGGAAAGTTTAGGGTCAACTCAAAGATCTGGGACCTCTGGACCCATGAGTTATAATAGGAGAAGTTCACATCAAAGGGTATTCGTCCATTGATAGAGGCCCTAGTTGTACTTCTGCAGAGGAAGCTAAGGAGAGGGACAGAGTGATTAAGGAAGGGAGGCTGGTGAAGTGATATCCTAGGGCATTTTTCAGGGTGTTCAAGGGTTAGCATGAAAGGAATTAAGCGTTGTTCAGCTCATCCTGCACTTACATTAACGACCCAAAGAGGAGGCTAAGACACCTGCTGAAGGCCACACAGGTGGACAGGGGCCACTAGGGTGGAAGTTTCTGAGATTTTTTTCTTGCTTGTTACAATACTACTTAAGCAGTGCAGTGGACTGTGCAATCTACCACTCATGTGTAGAAAAGAATTTGGCTTTATTCAAAGCCACTCCGTACCACAGAGAAGAAAATCCAGATCAACATTCAGAATTTAACTGTGACGCACACAGATGTTCATACGGTATACAGAAACACCAATTTGTGTCACTAAAGAATAGGGATAATAGATGTATCTTTTAATTCCTTGCCTGAGGGCAAAAGGCCATTTTGAGGATTCTGAGGTACAACTAGGTTCATTGCTAGCAATTTTCTTTTCAAGAGCACCCTGTTGCCGGCTCCAGATCTTGTGCAGAAAGCTTTAACATTTATGGCTTCATCTGGGAGGCAAGGCATGCTCATCCCTTCCCCCTCCTCAGGATCTGACAGCAAGATGACCTGGGGAGGAGATCACACGTCTGGTGTGCTTTCCAGGGATAGCAAAATTTCCTGAGCTCTCCCCTCACCCTTTAGTCACCAAATTCCTGGATTGTGTCACTGGATTCACTCAGCCTTGACAACAGCAGTGGCAAAGGAGCAAAGGTTAGAGTCAGAAGCCGGAAGTAAGGTTTCCATTCAGCCTCGGCTCACTGTGAGACACAAGCAGCCCACTGGGCCTCTGTGCTTCAGTTTACCCACCTGGAAAAGGGGTTCTTCACAAGCACACTAAGGAACAAAGTGCTTTAAAGAGGTAAAGAACGAACCTCAGCACTTCCCAGACACCAGCCATGTTCTGCCTCTTTGAGATGTGCCATAGGTCTTAATAAATGACAGGAGACTGTTCACTGAGTAATGATAAGGTGCCAATGCAGACATACCAATTCATTCCTGTTTTATAGATGTGGAAGTTGAGAGTTGTAATAGCTAAGGGGCCTATCACATGTCTTCTCTAGAAGCAAGAATTAGAAAAAAAATGGGAAATCAAAATAAACTCACGCTTGGACCACTTCTGGAGGAGCACCATTCACAGTAGACTGGTCCCCCAGAAGGGCTCCCTTGTGTAATCAACACGCTGAAGGCTTGCTGAGAAGTGGCTATGATCCCAGAGGGTACATTCAGAGTCACACAGGGTGAACGTGCTTGGTCCTTGCTGAAAAGGGAGGCAGGGGGTGGGGTTCCTGTAGTCGAATATTAACGGGCACCCAGCAGAAGGAGGCACATGAGCTGCTTCCTGTCTAGAAGGAGGATGGGACATGGGTAGCAGCTACAGGAACAGAGAGAGTGTGATGAAACCCTGGTGTAGCCACACATGCTGTGGACATGAGAGGACAAGAGATGGCTTCTGCTAGTGGGGATGGCTTGGTGAGAGGGAACACATTTAAACTTGGCCTTTGTGATAGGTACCATCATACCCACCCCCACGTCTACACCATTCTCTGCAGAACCTGTTACCTTATATGGTAAAAGGGACATTTTAGATGTGATTAAGTTTACTGACTTTAATGGGGAAATTAGCTTGGATTACCTTGATGGGATCAGCCTAATCACTCCATCCTTAAAAGCACAGGACTTTTGCCTATGGTACGGGAGAAGATGCAATGGAGGAGGAGGGTCGGAGAGGGAGATGTAGCTGGGTTTGAAGCAGGAGGAAGGTAGTTTGAACCAAGATATGAGGGAGGCTTCTGGATAAAGTTGGAAAAGGAGAAGAAATTGATTCTCTCCTGGAGCTTCCAGAAAGGATCGCAGCACCGCCAGCACATTGATGTTAGCCCACGGAGACCTACAGAATTGCATGGTGATAAACTTGGGTCTTTTTGAGCCATGGTTTGCAGCTATGTGTTACAGCAACGATAGGAAGACAACATAGCCTTGGTGGATGGATGGATGGAATCAGTCAAAATGGAACAGGAGGTAGAAGAAGGGATTCTGGGTAAGAGAAGAGACAAGTCTCAGAGAGTGAAGACACAGGGTACCTGGAGCTGTCTAGTAGAATGTTTTGCGATGGTGGAAAAGCTGTGCAGAGGAAAAGTCATTTAGCCATGTGTGATATGAAAAGTGACCCAAAAGCCATTTGCCTTGTGTGACCATTGAGCCCTTGATAAGGGGTGAGTGTTACCGAGGGGCTGACTTTTAAATTTTAATCAATTAGAAATTAAATGTAAGCAGCCACTCATTGCTGGTGGCGTGTGCTTGATGGAACTGTCCTCGAGAGCTTTATGTTAGAGATGAGTCAGCCAGACCCAGAACTTAGAACTTCTGCACACCTTAGGGCATGTCATCCTCTCACGGATGCTGTGAGGTCACATTATTGTGGTGATCCCCACTGACCTGATGAGACAACTAAGGCACTTGTCTGCAATGGCAGCGAAGTCAGGCTCCCACGTGCACACATCCATGACACCCTAACGCATTCCACGTCACACTCTAACAAGAGGCCAGGAAAGGCTGTGCAGGAGAACGACATGAGCTGTGAGTATTGAAGGCTAAGGAGACATTGGGCAGGCAAAAGAATCGAATCAGGTGAAGAGAGTCCCAGCAGAAAGGACTGAAAGGCATTCAGGATGACTGGGGTTGGGGAGGAAGAAGTGTCAAGGGTTAAAGTTAGAGAAATTGGCAGAGGCCAAATCCCACAGGGCCTGGTAGGATTCTGAATGTCATCCCAAGGATTCCAATGTTATTTAAAATTTTGATATGCACATGTATCCCATATTTTATATATATGTATATATTATATTTTGTATGCACACAAGTGTATTTTTAACTGTAACTTCTGTATGAATCACGGAGTAAATGTGACCAAGTGTAGACCAGCAGGAAATAGCTAGCTTCATTAATAAACATTAAATTCTTCGGAATCCTTCAAGAAGGGCAACGGCATTTTGGTCGCGTCTGTCTTATTTATATTTTGAAGTTTTCCTGTTCCTTGCATTTTTACAAGCACCTCACAACAGAAGCAGGGGTTGTAATCATTTTTTAAATTAGGACATGTCTGCGTACACAACGATTATGTTAATTGTAGGGAGTTGGTACCCATAGACGACCCACCTTCTTTTTACAACCCCTCTTCCCTTGTCCTTTTTCCATCTCTTGGTGCCCTTCCCATTGCAAAGTATTTTAATCTGCATTTTGCAAATGAATGAGCATGTTCTCTGAGAAGGGTCTCGATTTCCCCGAAGTCACAGCTGGCTAGCCGCAGAGCCGTCTACAGCCCACATGGCCACAGTGTCTTCGAAGGTGTAGTTCAGGGAGCACAGGATCCCAGGCCTCGTGGCCCTGGCCAAAGCCCTGCTTGGTCCTCACTGTCCTGTGGATAGCTCAAATGCGGCCTTACCTTTCGGATGCCATCGTGCTTCATTTCGATTACATGGAGGGTGTAGTTGGTCCGGCGCCCTTTCTCATTGAACTGCACATTTCCTGTCAGTCCTTCAAATCGGACCTGGGAAACAAAGCAAATGGTGATCAATGAATACAGAAGTTAAACTTTATGTTTGTCTGTTTGCTTTTCCTGTTGAAGTAAAAATCTCAGATTCCAGAAAGTTGCATGGTATGAGGGCTTGGAATAGCCTGACTGCTAAAACTCCCAACCCCTTAGCCATGGCAGGCGCCTAGATTTATTTACTGTCAAGCCATGGTTCATCCTGAGCATGACTTCAGCCATGGCTTTAGGCAGACAGCAGCAGGGGTCAGGGCACATACTATGGGGAAGCTTTTGGCCATCTCTAATGAAGGACCACGGCCGCAGTTCCATGCTTCTCAGACGCATCTGAAGATGAGGAAAATGAAGAAAGCCTGCAAAGGGAAGAGGTTGATGTGCCAGTGCTGACGGGTCCTACAAAGACCAAGGCCAGGAGTCAGCCTTGTGATTCCTCGCCTGAGGCTTGAAAATGGTTCCTAATTCCTTTGTGAGACTCACCGGGTGGCAGCAACCCCTCGGAAATACAGAGCGCCTGGACTTGACTCTAGCCTCCCCATTAACAGTCTGGTGATGTTGGGTGATCCCTTTTCCTAAGCCTCCAGTTTCTGAAAATCCTGTCTCCTTTCAATGACGGGGCCCATGTGAAAATGCTGTAACCACTAAAGCACCAGAGAGAACTGCTTCTCCTCACACCGAGGACCTTACAGGGGTCTCAGTCAGTGAGCACAAAATGTGCATTGGGATTGCAAACTGGGCCTTACAGGATTGCTTCTCCTTGCGTGAGTCAACCTAAACGTCCACAGACTCATCTCTTCCAAGTTTGTGTAAAAGGCCAAGTGGTCAGCATGGGGATTCAGGACCTTTAGGGCTGAGCCTGCTGCTCTGCAGGTGACCAGCAGATCTCATTCAAGTCCACCCTCTCGATGAGGATGAGTCTGGCTGTCTATTGCCTGCTCAGGCATGAGCATCTACATTCTAGTGGTGACCCGCTGTGTACCCTCAGATCCCTCCCATCTGAGGCTAGTGAAATGAATCTCTGTGTATTACCCATAAAGATTCTGCCCTACACCCAGCACTGTTTATTTTTTCTCCCTTCGACTCTCTTAAAAGGAAGGTCTTGCAGAGTTTTATTATTTTTTCTAACAGTGGTCAATTTGTCTGCCTTTAGAAGGTATAAGAATAGCTGGTGTGTGTGTGTATGTGTGTGTATGTGTGTGTGTGTGTGTGTGTGTGTGTGTGGGTGTGTGTACAGTGAAGGAGAGACTATTTGTGTGCATGAGTGCATGTGCATGAGTGTGTGTGTGTGTGTGTGTGTGTGCACCAGCTCTGAGGCTGGTGCACCCTCTGGTTGGACATCTCAGAGGGGCAGCCATGACAGGCCCAGAGCGCAGAGCAAATTATACAACAATCTCTTCATTTTCTCAGCTAAAATCTGGAGAACTCTCCAGCCTTAAAAAGGCAGGGCTGTCCTTACTTTTCAAAAAGAAAGCAAAGCACAGATCCTGCGATCAGGCAAGGAGTGGTTCCGGTCCGTCAGCAGCTTCATCTCCTTTCTCCTTGGTCATCCCATGCCTAGGCTCAGCTTTCCCATTGGTTCAGCCTCAAGGTAGCATTGTTACACTGGGAGGTACCGGTTCAATTAGTGCATTCAGAAAAGCAGAATGAGGTAGACATGCTGATGACTGGATGGTGGATTGATTTGCCCAAACGTGTCATTAGCAATCTAAGGGGAATCTAAATTTTGGGCTCAGTCTCAAATATTACACCGGTCATCAACGTGGCACATCAGTATGGAAAATTGCACAATCTCTTTCTGACTCATTTTCCTCATTTATTTAATGGGAGCAATTAGAGTTAATCATGCCGTAAGGTTGTTTTAAGGATTAAATGAGATATTTTACGATCAATGCCTGACCCACGGTGTTTGACAAAGGCTGTCATTGTTATTATCAATGATACCAACACCACCGCTATTTCCCAAGTATTTCATATTCATGAAGCACTTTCACACATCCTTCATTTACATTCATAGGACTCCTGTGAGATTTGCTGTTTAGAAATTATGATCTTCAGTTACACAAGAACTGAGAGCCCCAAACCCTAGGAAGGGAAGGGATCTCAAGGCTTGTGACCAAGAAGTGGAAGACTGGGGGCTATGATGGAGCACACTCATCACTGGAAACACCAAGCGGTCCCTCCAGCAGGGCCAGCACTCCTGTGCCAGGCTCTCAGCACATAAAAGTGTCACAGGGTGTGGGTGCCACCTGCCCCTACCACCACCTTGACACCTGCTGGCTATTTCTGGGTGTGCTCCGTTCATCCCCAACAAGGGCTCTTAACTGCATTCTCATTTCTTCTCAAGGAACTGAAATGCTTATCATCTTTTCTGGAACCTAAGCATGCATGAACACATATTATTCACATAATGATGATTTCTACAACAGTACTGTTGCATGCATAAGAGGAACGTGAAAGAAAATGTGATTAAGGTCGTATGTCCAACACATTGTTGAACAGCAGAGAGCAGGGGACTTTTGAAACAGAAATGAGGATTTTGTCACTGTAGCTTTTACATGCCTCCCTCAGTTTCTATAAAAGTAAAAAATCAGACCTGTGAAGCCCTAGTGACCACAGGTCCTCATGGCTTGTTGCGGTATTTTCACAAGCAGCTGCTTCTCTGATGTTTGCAGAAATTCCAGAAACTTCTAACGTCAGCAAGGCAGAGGTTATTGTGCCCATTTTATAGATAGCCTCACTGAGACTTTGGGATGGCTGCACTTGTTTCAAGATTCTCAGTATGTTATTAGAAGCCTGTGGTAATGGAAGACTTTCCCGTCTGTTTCGGGAGTCTTAAGACTTACACACATGGAGGTAAACTACGGTGTTGGAGAGCAGGAAAACAGACCTCACAGGACCACTGTTCCATGACAACAGAACAAGGAGAGGTCAAGGGAATGGCCAAACCCCAAGCCATTTATCCTGGGGAGTTAGAACTCAGACTTGGAGGAAGAAGCTTTTCAGACAATGTCAGCTCTGTGCAGATCTGAAGCCGCCATCCCCCTCCATGAGGTCTGAGCCCTGGAACTCTCCTGCTGCTGCCCCAGGGTGAGTAGGGTCAGAAGAATGGATGGAGCCCAGGGTTTTCTCCTTGGGTCCCACTCCTAGAACTCCTGGCGCCACCCTGGTGCCTGTCAGCTTTCTCCCTGATAGATGCAACATTAACCTTGAGTTTCCTGTAATGGTTCCGAGTGCCAGCTTGGAGTCTGCTGCTGGTGGGATGCTGAGACACATTTTTTCCTTCCAGGCTGGTGACAAGACAGTGCTAGCTGATGTTTCCAGGACTTGAGCCATTTTAAAATTATTCAGGGCCCCTTGTTAAAGCACGGTAAGGTGGGCTTGGTTCTGGAGAGTCGAGATAGATACAGGATCACTGTGACGTCTCACTCACTGTGAGACTCGGTATGGAAGAGAAATTGGGCTCAGTCCAAATACAGCGTGGACAAGGGGGATTTACAGCCAAGGTACAGGGCCAGGGTCATCGGATGGAAAGAGGAGATATCAGGAGTAAGGGGTTCTGGCTAACCCAGTTGAATAGGATTCTTGCTGATGATGAATCTGAGTGGTCAGAAATTGCCTGAGGGATGATGGAGGGTGGGGAGCTGGACTGTGCAGGAGGGTTCCTGCTGTACTGACTTAGCAGGGTCAGGGCCAAACTTGGATTTCCCTTGGAAGCGAATGGGTGAGTGTGCAGGGAGGCCCACGAGCCTGACTAAATCCTGACCAAGCACAGCATCTTTGTCAGTTTTGCACATGAGCTCCTTTGGAACCAAGGACGAGTAGCTGAGTCACTGGGGACCCAGAGCTTCTATAACCTCTGTGTGGTGTCTTTTAAAACATACTTTAGAATTCATAATATACTTCCAATCAATCTTATAAATCAATTTTTGTGCGTAATTTGGCTTTTATCCCCAGCGCTTTACTAAGAGCACTTTATTTTTTCTTTCTTTCTTTCTTTCTTTCTTTCTTTCTTTCTTTCTTTCTTTTTTTTTTTTTTTGTACTGGGAATTGAACTCACGACCTTGTGCTTGCCAGGCAGGTGTCGTGCTGCTGAGCTATATCCCCGGCTAAAGGCAGTTTCAAAAGTAACCAAATCTCTTTTTAGGCTGAAGCATTTGACCCTGTTGTCCTCTTTTTTCTGAGGGATCACTTCCCTTAAGTCTCCTCCTCCCTTCCTGTGAAGGGAAATGCCTAGCTTCTACCTAATCCCTCCAAAACCCAGATTTATTCCTTGTTTAAATTCACCTTTCCTTTGCGGCTTAGGTGACCTTCCATCTCAGATTTCTTTCCATTCATCCATGAAGCCCAGGAAATGCTGAGGCTTCCATCCTGGTTCCTCTTCAAGCTCTGTGTGTTCGCCTTCATAACTGTCCCTGCTCTGGCAAACACTGAAGCTCACTGACAGTTCCTCCCAAGTTCCGTGACCACTTGGTTAAGGTAGATCCTTTCGGCCAGATGGTGATGTATGAGGCCTGCAAGCCAGTACCCTACTGGGTTATGTTCTAGTTATTCTGGACACAGTAAGTCTCAGAATTCCTCTGAGCTTCTCCCTCCCAGTCACAGCTAGGGGAAGAATAACCCTAGTTCTAATGATCTCATATATACCTAGTCTGAATTCAAAGCAACATTGACATTATGCATTTTAAAATCATGATCCTGGGCAAATCAGTGGGCAGGGCAGTATGAAGAGGACTGTGTCCATTTGCAGTTAGCAAATGAGCAATTGAGGGCTAGAAAAATTGAGTAATTGGTCCAAGACACCTCCCTGCACACATACTCCCCAGTGGTGTGCTGGGTAGGGCTGTGGTTAGAGCCTAGCTCTGCTTTGCCTGACTTCCTAAGAGGCCAAGTATGATACCCACAAATCCTTGATGGCAACTTACTCTGGTGTGCTCCTGGGTAGGATTAGTGTTCCTACCTAAATCCTCCAGAAACTAGATTTGTTCCTTTGTTCAAATTCACCTTCCTTTAAAGCTTAGGTGATGACATATCTCAGTTTGCTTGGGACAGTTCCAGCCTACAGCTCTTGTTCTGGAACAATCTATAAAAGCATTTTGTTTCACTGCTTTCAGGGCTAGGGATTGCTCAGAGCCTCCTGCCTGCTAGGAAAATCCTCCACTCTGGAGCAAAGCCCCTGCCCCTCCCTTGACTCCTAGGTGCCCCGGTTTACTTGATAAATGATGTGCTCATGCTGCAGAAAGGCCCAGTTTCCCCATAGAGGAAGCTTTGCTAGTTTTCCTCTTCAGTGATACGCTCTGTCTTTATGACATCTGTAGCACCAAAAGCTTGTCTGCACTTTTCTAGCGATTCTTTCTCTTAAGCTTGCTTGGCTTTTCAAGGCGGATCGTCAGCCCTGAAAGGCAGGAGCTGGGTCTTGTACTCCCTGGACTGCTACACCATCCCAGATCTGTTCCAGCAAAATGCTGGGCATATATTCACTTTGATATGCTTGGCTATGGGCTGACATTTTGCAAAATCAGAAATGAAAGAGAATGATCAATATTTAGGGCAGACAGTTTAAGCCCGAGGGTTTGGTCTTGGCTTCTAGGAGTATCTATGTTCCCCCCTCACTCCTGGTCACGAGGAAAAAATATGTATGTACATATGCGTATTTTCATGGGGGTAAGACTCTAAAGATTTTCTTTTTTCAAATCGTATCTTTAAAGGGCTATAATCTTCCACATGTTAAGAGCTTGACTTTGGAAGGTGAGCCTTTGCCAACCGGAAGGAGACACATGGATCTGAGAACACTGCCTCCTTTCTTGGGGCACCAAGGGTTCTAGGACACGCATTCAGTACCATTTGGAACAGCTTCCTGGGAGGCAGGCAGCGAGCAAGCTGGCAGGCTGATTATCTTCATTCTGCTGCTAGGGAAATTACAGCAGGGTGTGTGGGGTGTGTGGGTGCATGGATATTGCCTAAGGCTATGTGCTGTTGTGGTTGGGTTAGGGTTCTTATGCCTCCTCTGCTGGGCTGGGCCTTTGAGGGTTTTACACAATGAAGCGTACAGAGAGAGGTCGACTAAGCACGGGTTGGAGTCCAGTTTTGTCAGTACCCTGTTAGCTGTATAGTTAGGGGAAGATTTTTAACCTCTCTGCAGCTCAGTTCCTCCATTTATAAAACACAATTAATAAAAGCCAGCTTACTTACTGGGCTTCATCAAGGATTATTGAGATAATATGCATAGATGTTCCAAGCTGTGTACCCAGTAAACCCTTACCACATCATAGCTGTTATGACCATTCATTTTTAGAACTAGACTCTGCAGTGTGTTTGTCCAAGTCTCACTCGCTGACTCTGCACAAGCTACCTACCCACTTTATGACTCAAAGACCAGGGGACACAGGTCAGTGCAGAGACCTGAATCCCCAGGGTCTGGGTTCCAAGACCTAGATGTTGTCAGGATTTACTTAGCTGGTGGTGGGCACCATTCCTTCCTGTGATGTGGGTATTTCAGGAGAAGTGTTTAGAAGGCAAAATGGCCAGACAGTGGGCATGGCTGGGGTGTGCAATGGCCTGGGCTGGGTAGCACGAGGAGCTCTGCTGAGAGGTCTAGCTCAACCTCTGCTGTTAAGCTGCTGTGTGACACTGCAGAAATCACTGCCCTCTGTGGGCCAGCTGTCTCCTTGGCAAAGTGAGGGAAAATGAGAGTAATCTCTGAGGTCCCATTGGGCAGTAAACTCTTTTGATCTTAGATGTTTAAGGAAGGTTGGATAAGGGGGCAGTCTTAGGGAAGGAACTTTCTAGTGGGCTTGTTATTTCCCAATAGTGACTCAGTCTTTTAGGATAGGCCTTGGCTTCTCTTAGCATCCCCAGGTGTGGCCCCAGGTCACAGTGTATAGCCCATGCCCAAGGAGCCTCTGGTGAAAAGCATGCACATACTTCTCGGTTCTAAGAAAACATACCAAAAGATCATTATTCTTTGACATGGAAAATTGCTTCATTTCCAGCCCTACTAATGCCAGGAAGATAATGAGCAGACATTCTAACCAGTAGAACATGAGTTAGATCACGAGGATAAAAAGTCATAGAGTCTTGCTGGGCTGAAATTTGCCATCCTTCTGCCTGAGCCTCCCAGACTTCTGGGATTATGATAATGCACCACAGCACCTGGAAAATTTGACTCTGACCTCCAGAGCCAGTTGAGACTTATGAGCTAGCTGTCTTTCCAATCACCTCATTTTCATGGATAAAGTACAGGAGATCCCTGGGAGATCTGATCGACTATTTTAAGTTTGCTCAGAGAGATCTGTAGTCGAGCTCTCCTGCCTCCTGGTTCAGGGCCCTTCCTGTCACTTTTCATTGCTTCCCTGGCTTTGTCTCTGTCATGGTGGTGTCAGAATATCCTTTAGGGGATGTCATTAAGACAGGGGAGGCCAGAGAGCTGGAAAGGGCATGGAGCCAAGGGCAAGCCCCTGGAACCTTCTGAAACCAGGCTTACATTGCAAACAGTCTGTCTCGACTGTGGCATCTGGAAGTGCATGTTGAATAGGCTGGGGGGCAGCTTATTTAAATAACCTGTGGCCATTTGGGAGCCTGCCTGGTGTCTGCTATTGCTATCTAGTCATTTGGGGACCATGGAGGCAGGGGAGGGCAGAGATGGCAACTGTAGGTCTTCCTTGGGGTGAGGCCTTCTAGTTATCTGAGCTTTTGATTAGCTTCGTTCCAAAGGACAACACTCTTCACCCTCCTCCACATCGAAGTGCATCTGCACACCTGAGTAACAACTGAGGCTGTCCTTCTCTCTTTTTGTCATTTGTGAAAACCCAGAGCTGCGCACATGTGTTTGGGAAACAAATGAGAATTGTTGTACATTTTGCTCTGTGTTTCTCCCTCATCCAGAAACACTCTTCTTCCACCCTGGGAGCATGAATTCACCTTCTGTTGAATGGAGTAGAGTTGGCAACTGGACTGGAGGGCGGGTACTGAGCAACATTTACACCAAAATATCTTGCAGCTGTTGATTTACTGTTTTACCTGATGGTTTGTCATTTGCAGTTAGCTCTCCCCGGTATCTGGAAATATAACTTCTCCGTCAGGAGGCATCCAAAGCATAATACAGCGCTATGCTTGGCAGACTGAGAATTAGTCTGGGCTTGGGGAACTTCTCGAGACTTCTAGTGGCTCCAAGAGTGGCAAAGCAGAGTGTGAGTCCCCAGAATTTTCTAAACCTGGAATGTTAAATAGACGCCCACAGGTACCACTGTCTCATCCTGCTTCTGCAGCAGACGTATCACTGATTGAATATTTATGCTCTTCCCTGTGGTATCTGCTTTCACCTCAGAATCCTTTGCACAGCCAATCGATCGGAGTGGGTGTAACCACTTCTGTTCTTATTCTTTAACTGTTCCTGAGCACAAACAGAATTGATGATTGCAATGCCAAGCAGCAAGACAGTGGGAGCAGAAGTACTGAGAAACATTTCCAGGGGCCCCTCACACAGCGGACCCTCCTGAGGTGTGCGGGGAGAACAAAGGTAGTGAAAACTAAGCCCAGGAGACTGCGAACACACACTGGCGTCATCCCTGTGTGTTTCAAGTTCCCTTTCTAAATACAGACACCATTGGCCTTCCGTGTTCAGCATAACCCCCCAAGCAGAAACTGCAGCTTTTACACAACAAGGACTGGCTGTTCTCCATTCTCTATTTGTGTAATTTTTGACATGAGGGTCCACCTATGCCAAGAGCTGCCAATACAATGCAGTGGTCATTCCAAACTCCAGGCACATTTCCCTTTTTCTCATAGCAGTTTCAATTTGATGCTGAATTCCCTAGTAGGCTCCCATGAAATGGGCAAACTGCCAGCCTTACCTGCTGCAGGGCTCTCTGGATGTCGATTCCCTGTCCCCAAGGCACAGCTGGATTTGCCAGACAGTCCCCAGCATTCCCCCGGCGAGATATATCAATCCTCTGCCTCCGCAGGCTCTGGAAAGCTTCTGCCATCACCTTCACCCCATCGTAGGTGAGCGCAGAGGTGTACTGGAGGAAGGAAGGAAGGGGACAGGTGTCAGGGGGCGGATGGGAAGCCGTGGGGGGCTGGGGAGCTGCACATGGGAATGTGCTTCCTGGCCAGGAGAATGTGAGCAGTAGACCAGGTGGGAGCACCAGGGTGGGCAGCTGGTGAACCACAGGGGGAATGCCTGCCTCTTCCCAGGGGACGGCTCACTGCACTCCCAGAGCTGCTCAGTGTGGTTCGCTGGGATGTTCAAAAAGAAGGCAGAATTCTAGGCTCGTGTGTGTCGCAGTGATTTTTAAACAACGTTGGTCTTCTAGGGGAAAAATGTGTAGATTAAGTACAACACATCTGCAGGCTGAACCATAGAAAGTCAGCTGGCTTTCCCTGCACTAGAATCACCCAAGTGGGAGCCCAGAAGAAATGACTATTCTGCCATTTCTTGTGACAGTGGAAGGGAAAGATTATTCTGAGAGGAGTGAGTGCTTGATCATTCCTGCTCATGGGTCTCCTAGGTGATACGTTTACATTCTGTAAACTTTCCCAGAGTGTATTAGTAATAACTCTCAGGGTTTTTTTTTTTTTTTTTTTTTTTTCTTTTTGACCAAGATGGAAACAAGAACAGGGTAACAGCCAAGGAAAATAATTTCTATGTTTGGAGCCCCTTATCTAGCCTCCTCATGAAGCTGTCCCTAATCCTCCACTGCTGTCTGGTATCTTGTAAGCGCACACTAGAAAGTTGCAGAATGAACTGTATATATTTTTTGCAGTGTTTAATATTATTTTTCCCTCATTTTCAGGACTATTGTGCTATCTTCAGAAATTGAGTGGTATATTCATATGTTAGTAAGTAACTCCTGTGTCTGGCTCACTCACTGATTTATAGCATACTTGTGATTTTTGTTTGTTTAAACTCATAATGAAATAAGTCTTAATTTTCCCACAATTCTTTCTCCCAATGCTGGGAATTGAACCCAGAGCTCTGACCTGGTGGGCAGATGCTTTACCATTGGACTGCTTCTCCTCTTTTAAAGAAATTTTAATTTCGAGACAGTCTTGCTGAATTAGCTGTGATTACAGGCATATACCACTACACCTGGTTTAGGTTCCATTCCTGAAGAATTAAGCGGGTTTGATCAAAAGTGGGTTGAGAAGCTTGCAGTTACATGGCTTGCAATTTACAAAAACCAATTGATCACAAAGCAAGAGAAAATTGGCCAGGGATGCACTGTTTGCCCCAGATAACTTGGCCTGAGGAGCCTTCTCCACCCAGCATTCTGCGTAGCCACTGTCAAAGAATTTGATGTGACATGGGAAGAAAAATTACTGGCTCTCTTTATTCTAAACCATTCTCAGAGAGCACACAAAATAGATTTGGTTGCAGGATTTAGAGAGGCATTTCTGGGAAGTAGATGCTGCTCCTGGTAATTGGTAGCTGACTCCGACATGGAGATCTGTGGATAATCCTTCCTTAGGTTTCCCTGATATTCATCCAGGCACGTGGCTGTTAAAGGGGCCATCTCACTGTCATTCAGCGATGCTCCACCCACAAAGAAACAAGCTTCCTTCTAAGCTGTGGACTATAACATCCCTGCCTAGACTAGAGATAGAACTTTTTAGCTTCCTTTGCAGTCTTTGAAGGTGGTTTTCATACGAGTGGAAGATCTGTGTGAATTTCGCAATGATTCTTTTTTTTTGTTTTTTTTTTTTTTTACTGGTACTAGGGATTAAACTCAGGACCACGCGCCTGCAAGGCAGGTGCTTAACCCGATGAGCGAAATCCCCAGCCCCTTGCAAATGATTCTTAAAGAAAGCAGTTGTGTGTTTCACCTTCCTTTCCACTTTCCTTTGGGTAGAGGGCTGAGGTGATGGCTGGAGTTTAAGCAGCCATCTTGAACCATAAGATAGAAGCCCTATGCTGAGAATAGCAGAACAAGACAGAGGAATCTTGGCTATTTGGTGATTGTGCTGTGAGTATATAAACCTGAGACTATGGAGTCTTGAATTTTGTTTACCAGAGAGAAAAACAGAATGTCTCTCTTGCTAAAACCATTGTCATTTGGGGTTGTTTGAATCTTGCCTTAAAAACCTTTACACTTGAAAATATTGATGGCTATATTTTGCTTTGCTTATGCCTTTTAGGAAAGCTATTCCCTTCTAAAGCCAACACTTCCCAGAAGTCTGGGGCAGGCAAAAGGACCAGGCCATCCCCGCACCTTGGGTCTCTTCCAGTCCACCCGGGTGTGGTCCCTGGCATCGCTGGTCTTCCACTGCTGCATGATCTTGGCTGGGACAGTGTCCGTGTAGTTCACCAGCTGGAACCCGGTCACATTTGCTCCACTCTCCTTGAATTTATTTAAGTCAATGTCCATGAAGCCCTGCGGAAGGAGGGAAGGGAAGACATCAGGACAAGCTGGCTCAATAAATCAACACACCCATGTTGTAGATTTTCAGTCTTCATTCCACGATGAGTCTGGGTCAACACTTGCTTTGTGTGTGAACTAAGTCCATAAACATAAGTGGTTGCCCTGCTGACTGAGGGATCTGTAAGTGGAAGACCTGGCTCCCAAGTCTCTATCACCTTCACGAGGATGACATTATTTGAAGATGTTTGTCTGCCTAGTGCGGGACAGGAAGCTGGCGAGAAGGTATGAGGAGACCTTGTGTAAGGCTGGTGCTGACTGAGGGATCTGTAAGCAGCTGGGTTATGATGCCATAGACATGGAAAACAAAATGCAAACCACCGTCTCACCCACCTGCCCTAACTGTATCCTGTAGACAGAGGAGAAATCTGAAGCCTATTGCAAGCAAGTTCTTGAAAGTTCTTGGAGAACACTGGCAAGTTTGTGGAAGAGCTGGATCTGATCTGGGTTTCCATCCCTCACCGAGCTCTTTCATGGACCGTGGACCGGACCTGCTCTTCCTAATGAGGCTTGATCAATTCTAACACCCACAAAGGATTCATCTAATTCAGGAAAATTCGTTATAACTCAGGGAGACTTAAAAGCCTTAAAAGGAAAGCTTATATTTATATAATATATTCAGTATGTACAGTACTTTCATATCTATGACCTCACTTCACTTGATCCCTTTAGAAAGTACAAAGTATACGCCTATTTGCCAGATTAGGAAGCTGAGATAGAGTAGGAGAGTAGAGCAGGAGGACAGAGTTCACAAAGTCAATCAGTCATTCAGTGAGTTAGCAGCACACATGGGGCCAGAACCAAGTTCTTGGGTTATGCAGTTTATCTCTGAGCACTGTCTCTAGTGGTGAATGAAACAGTGCTTTCTCTCATGTACCTTGCTGTCTCGTGGGAAACACAGAAACAGACTAGCAAATACACAGCACAGTGTAGTTCGGTCAGGTACATGGTCAGGCAGAAATGAGTTCTGTGAAGAGAGATAGAATGGCGGGAGTGGACAAGGAAGGGGCTCCACCAGGCTCTGGAGGGAGGTGCAAGGTAAGCCTGTTGGAGGGGAGTTGCTGGCTCAGGAGCTCAGTTTGTGAGTGGGCTGGGGGTTGCGGGGGCCAGGCATTCTGAGAAGAGGCTAGAGGTGGAGGGTTGGTCGCCGAGGAGCTGGTGTGATGGTGAGAAGGAGGTTGGGTGGCAACTCAAGGTGGGCCCTCACGCAGCCTCGAGTTAACGTGGGCTTCCTTCTATGCGCCATGCAGGACTCACGGCAAGAATTTGATCAGGGATCGTAAATTGGGTGTCAGTTCAGGCCCACGGCTTGGGTGCATTGCCAAATCCCAGCCAGAGACAGAGAAGAGGGAACACAGGAAGCACGTGGTAGCCGACAGAATCCTCAACAGGCTGCTAAGAAGCCTGAGTGCAGGTCCAGCGGTCCTGGGATCTGGTGACAAAGCGATCTGTCCACATGGTTTTATTTCTTATGACACCATCTAGTTTTCTCAATTAAAGAATGAGCTTCATGGGGGCCAGGGATACAGCTCAGCAGCACAGCGCCTATCTGGCCATCACAGGGTTGTGAGTTTGATCCCCAGTACCACACACACAAAAAAAACAAAACAAAAAGAAAGGAGCCTCATAATTCAAAGACATCTGACCACTGGATCTGTAAGTTTCTGTGAATCCTTAGTGTTTTGTAAACAAACCCATCCTCCGCTCTCTTCTTTCCTTGGAGTCTTATTTCCCTGGCTGGCCCCTTTCCCTCCTGAATCGCAACTAGAACACCGTTTCCTCCTACCCCCCATGTAAAGAGCTGGTTCTTGCCCCACAGTAGACACTGTCAGCGCCTCATTCATCTCCACCCCCTGTACACACTGCAGCTCCATATTCTATGCTAACTGCAACCACTTAGTTCTCCACCTACAGGCATTATAAGCAGGATGCGTTGGGGAGTTAATATGTCCGGGAACAACTGACAATGTTTGGCCACATGTGGAGATACGTATCCCAGAATCCTCTCCCCTGGGAGCCCAAGCTTGATGCGTGGTCTGCACTGACATCTAGAGAGCCTTTGGTGGCCTGAGCTCCCTCAGCAGCCCACAGGGTTGAGTATGTTGCTAATGCACATTTGTTGTCCGCTTTCCCTTCCCTGATCCACTTTTCTGCTTCCCTGCTAGTGTTTCTAGGTTTGGCATTGATGAAACCACTTGTACTCAGTCCTTGCCTTGGGATCTATTCTGGGAAACCCCAGTGCAGTTACTGCCAGCACATCTCCTAGCACGTTCTATCTCAGTACCTGTTCGAGTTGCTCCAGACCATTGCTCACAGCTGAAAATATCCTGTCCTTTTGTCCACTCTCTTCCCATGGGAATGGCAGATTCGGAGGGCAGCGGCATTTTCTGTGTTGTTCACTGATATGTTCTAGTACCTAGCACCTCGAAGCACGCTTGACACACAGTACATATTCAATACTGATTAGCTGAGTGAATAAACAAAATTCAGAGACTTCCCTCTAGCATGAATGCCAAGTATCCAGGGACATCTGGTCAGCAGGTGGCAAATACTAGTAGGTAATTTTAACCGACCGAAAGGAGAAACTCAGGTTGGGAGTAATTTTTGAGATTAACTTGTCTGATAGACACAGTTTTCAGAGTTTACAGAGGTAACCGATTTGCATGGTGGTACCAGCAAGCTGTTAGCCAAGACAAAATCAGAATAGGGTTTCTGTACCCAGGATGCATTCCAAGATGCAATGCCTTCCGAAGAGCCAACCATTCATTCCACCACTGGTTAGAAGCCAGTACATACTGGAGAGATTTTCCATACTCTTTAGAGACTTTGAAAAGAACATCTTGTTCACGAAATAACTATTGAGAGAATGAAATGGAAATTATCTCCTGCAGTCAGATTCTGTCACTTTCAAATCTGTAACAGGCTCCTGGGCATTTGGTACTGACTGCTGCCATCTCCAGCACAGTGCATTTCCAAAGGAAATGGCAGGGTTTGTTCAAACAGAAACGCACGCCAGGCCAGCACCAGAATGTCTGGTTACGAGATGAGATGAGTGGAGCCAAGCCTCGGTCACACATGAGTAGAGCTGAACTCATGGGACCCTCCTAGCAGACTACCCCTGTGACTGAGAGGGAAGAAAGACTGACAAGCTTAGAGCTCAGATGCTCACTAAAATCATCAAAATTAGGAAATGACTTGGGGGTCAACATACGTTCATCTAATAGCTGACATTTCCCCTCCTGCATAAGATGTCACGCTGGCAATGATAACATTAACCTTACAATAACCTTAATCACCAAGAAATGAGCCTCACAGAGTTACAAGGCTTGATTTTTCCACAATTCAAGAAAAAGGACTCTGACATGGAACAGAAGAATATCCTTAGCTAAGAAGGAGAATGTTAACTCTGCCTACCAGCTAACTGGAAAACAGCTCACTCACTGGACTCCCCCTGCACTCTTGTTAAGCAAAGTTTAATTAAATCATTTTCTAATTTTCTTTTGCTATTTTGTTAAGAAGAAACTTTGGGTGGTAATATGGGGTAATTAACGCATTTTTCTTTATCTGCTTTATTTGTGCTATTAATGATATAATATTGTTCAAGGACGCTAATGTGCTAATTGCATTCTGCTAAAAGCTTTAACTGTGAGGTTTGATTATCACTACACTGAGCGATCTTGCCTGACTTGTAACAAGCATCCCGATGGTGTATCCCGTGCTCTGTACACTGTGACCCTCTAGTAAGAATGAGGTTGATCTACAAGGTCCTTGTTTTTCAAGTTATTCAATAGGAGATATCAGGTCACCTAAAGCCACATGCTTCCACCGTCCCCAACACTGATTCTACTTAAGCTCTTTGCAGGGTAAATGTTTCTCACCCAAAATGGAGCTTGGGGTAACTGTGCCCTTGGGACCATTAGGTCCTTGTGTTCCTGTTTGCTGCTTCTTTGCCTCTGTCGTTTCCTGCTGCCCCACAAGTGAATGATGAGGCAGTGTGCGGCAGGAGGGGTTCCCTACCTGCCATCTTTATTGGAGTACACAAGAATGGCATAAAGCCCTGCAGGCCCAGGTTGGTGGTCCTTAGCCTAAAGGACACACACACAGCCTCAGGGAGCTTTGGTAAAGCAGCAGTCCCTGATGACCTTCATTCTGTAGACCTAAGGAGAAACTGGACACTGTACCCAGATTTTGGCAGCACTCTCATGCTGGTGAACCAAAAAATCAAGCCTCGCTATGTTGCAGGTCTGAGGGTAACATTAATACAGTTCCAAATGATAGTGTATCTAACAAACAGTGAAGAGAGGATGTCAGGAGTAGTATGAAATGATTCACCCTCTAATGGGAGCTGCAGATGAGGCTAAGATGATAAACGAGAACAAGAGATAAGGGCAGATTACGTGGAAGGATAGAGGCCACAGTAAGAAAAACCAACTACAGAAAAGCTTACTTGGACCTAAAGAGGGATCAGCCTGAGTCATCTGTATGGAAACGGATGCACCTTGAGATCATAAGCTTAAGTGAAGCAAACCAGACATGTAAGTTGAAATGTCACATCGTTTCTCTTATATGAGAAATCCAAAATACAAATAAAGAGCAAAATAAAAAATAGATAATAGAAAATAGATTTTTCTCAAATGGGAAGGGGACAGGAGATAGAAGGAGCAGGGAGAGAGGAGAGAGACAGGAGATGCAAAAGGAATTCAGATGTGCTAGGTGCAGTACCAACATCCTGTGAGGAACAGCAACATTAGGAACTTCAGATATATGCTGATAAAAAAGTATGCATTGGAAAGAGCAAGTGTTACATTTTTATACCCTGTGTAATTTTTTTTTTTTATTGTGTGAATGCCTTACCTTGAAATGCTATTAAATGTAATAGTAGAGGCTTGTAATTCTGATGTACCTCTCCGGTTAGGAGTCACCTTTCAGTCACTGGAAAGTTGGGGGAGGGAGTG